CACCATACCGACAAGCGCTGCAGCATGTTCACGATACGCGGATCGGAGGACAAAGAGCAATGGGCACCTGGTGGAACTGGCGCAGGCGTCCCTTTTGTGGTCGTTCGTAGCGGAACATGGGGCCGCTGTAGAAGTAGCGCCGCGGCAGATCGCCAAAGTCCTTTTTGCTCACGAACGCACGTACCACGCCTGCATGCCTGAGTGAGCGCGCGCACGCACGCACGCACGCACACACACACACACACACACACACACACACACACACACACACGACCGCACAGACACCACAACGCACGCAGATCATGCTCGGGCACATACCGGCAGTGCCTTCGGGTCGGAGGGTGAGACTGTTGCCGCCCTTGTCGTCAAATGTGTACATCTCCTTCATCACCACGTCCGAATCGCCGCCCAAGCTCCGCTGGAACACTTGGGTCGTCTCGAACATCGGCGTTTGTACCTGTGCAGAGAACAATGCAAAATTGTTTTATTTATTATTTATTTTGCATTATTTATTTAGCTTAATTGGGCGAACCTCCTCGAAGGCGTATCGGGAAGCTACGCGCCGAGCGGTGTCCACGATGAACCGGTGGGCTGCCAGCTCGCCGCCCTCGATGTCGTGCGTCCCGCGCGGCGCACCGCCCACGGGGCCGGTCGCTACAGCAGCCGCCGAGGAGACGTAGCCGCGTTGCAACCACAACGGACCCGCCAGCGCTGCGCCTCCATGGCATCCACTCCAACCAACGGCGTAGGCCACCCCCGACCAGGCGCCACTCGTACAAACGAGGCGCCCTCCCCAAAGATGTGGCCACATCTTCATCTTCTTAGAAAATGCCGAATTATTGTTGATTTTCTTGATTTTCCTTACCATTTCCTGCTGCTTGCTGGTTGGCCAGCGAGTTGTTGTCGCACCAGCATCTCTGCAACAGCTGGGCAATCAACCTTTCTCCTGCGCTGCAACAACAACGGCGCCATGCCCTGCCGCGTGCTGGTGGTCTTATTGCTGACCTCCTTTGTCGTAGCATCAGCTTTGGCTCAGCCTGATGGTACCACCGCCTCTACTTGAAGAAGACGCCTTATTGCCTTTTTCAAGGAGTTCTAAACTCCTCCGCCACACCTCGTCTCATTCTTCACAGTTTCCGAACTGCGTACCCGTGTGCTCTTCAATGACAGCTTCAACGCCCTTTTCGCGCCAAGTGGCAACTGGGTCCACCGCCAGGCGTACGTTTGACCTCTTCTCCTCCGCTCGTGTTCTCGCAGACCGCCTGTTGTTGATGCTCATTCTTAACGGGCTTATTATCCTCAACCAATGCACTGGAATTTTAAATTGATGATAACCCGGCCATGTTTCGTTGGTTGGTTGTTTTTTCCCACGCCGCTGCAGGAACACAAGGGCAAAGCTGATCGACGGCAGGCTAACGTTCGACGCCGTTGGTTCCATGTTGCCCAACGGCGACATCTTCACAAATCGAAGCTTCGTCAGCAGCACCAACCAGTTCCTCCTGCGTTTCGACTACGCGGCCACTGTCGCGTGTGACCAAGTCTACGTGGCATGGTTCTACGACATACCCGCCAGTGAGGCCATTGTACGTACCCACAAGCCTCGCCAAAAAAAAGTGTGTCGTGCCATGCGTGCCGTGCGTGCCGTGTCCTGACTTCTTTCCCTGTGCCCATCCACTGTACAGATTCCGATTCATGGCTGGGCAGCGACTAGCAGGCCTGATTACTGTGCGCAGGTATGGTCTGTGCCTTTGTTGGTGCCTGTGGTTGTGGGAGTGCGCCAATGCTCAACGGGCGCGTTGCTGGCACATCAGTCAGGGACGAACTTCGGAGGTTGCGATCAAAATTTCCAACTGCTGCTGCCCACCGCCTCGACCAGCGCCGGCGACATGCAGCGCTACGAGTTTGTGCTCGCTCTGGCCAACTTCCAAGTGGTGTCCCGCAATGAAACTGGTACTAGCCCCCTCCTGTCCACAAGACACTCAATAATGTTGTGGGCGCTAACGCTGTGCTGGTATTCTATGTGTTAGCCATCGCCAAGGGTATTTATCTGTCGCTGCAGAACCGAGGCTACACCGACGACGTGTGCTTCTTTGATAATTTCAGCTTTGAAGAGATCCTCCCACCCCTCAAGTACGGTCTTCTCTTTCGTTTTCTGTCTTTTATTTTTCTGTATTTTTACTTCATTCCTTCATCAGTCCTCCGTCTGTGGCGGCGCCATTGCTCGCCGTGGACTTCCCAATGCGCAACCCGTCGTTCTTGGCGACCTCTCCGCAGGAAGGTGCGATGAGAAAACCTGAATCGGCGCACTGCTGCATTGAAGTGTACCTCTTTACTGACGCGATGTGCATCGGTGCGCTCGTGCGGCAGAGGGCACCGAGATCAGTGCCGACTTTGTGCGGATGGTCGAGCTGCAGAGCGATTACCGTGTGAAGGTGATCCGCAATTTCCCTGCCACGGGCTACAAGGTCCAGGCTGCATCGGACGGGGTACGGACTTGGGTTCGCGCTTGGGTTCCATGCGGCCCGGTGGACTCATTGTTGACTTGTGTGGACACCCAACCAGGCTGTTTGGTTCTCCCGTGCCCTCCAAGTCTACGATGAAAGCGTGGCCACGTGCGACTTGACGATCAAGGCCTTTACGCAAGGTATCGCAAGCATCCCCGTGGGTGCAGTTGCCCCTGGAAGGGGAACGTTCCAGCTCACCCATGACGCCACACACTCCTTCCTGCAGATGGCCGTGTGAACACGGGCTTGTCGAAGTTCAAGGCGCCCAAGAACTCAGTGGAGTGGTCCATCACACTCACCGGCTGGCCCTTCACCGCACCAAACAACAAGCTCCTGCTAGAGTTCGGCCTGTCCATCTTTGAAAGCGGGCGCAACACCAATGCCAGTGTCGGCGGCGGCCAGTTCGTCATCACCAATGTCACGTATGTGTCCAGCGAGAAGACATACCGCTACGCTCTCCACCTGGCCGGCAGCAACGCGTCGACGGTGGTGAACCTGATCCTCCCGACGGTGGCGACGGTGGACTCAGTCGCGGGCGAAATCGAAGCGCCGGTGCTGACCACGGCAGCGGCCTTCGCGGCGTACATCAGCAGCTCCAGCTCGCAGCCCGTCTCATCATTGCAGGCTGGCGTGGGAGACACAGTGGATGTCGTGGTGTTTGTTTTCCCCAGCTTCAAGGACTCGCTCACCTACGACCCCAACGTCGGCTTCCTGCTTACCGGAGGTACTCTCGCCCGCGACCGCACGCACACACGACCGCGTCATGAAACGGGCTCTGACACTCACCACGCTTTCGATGATAAACAAATATTAGGAGATGAGAGTGGCATTAGCGACGACAACACGTTGCTGATCGTGCTCACTGCGGTGCTGGTGTCGTGCGCCCTGCTGGTGGTCATCGCGGCGGCCGTAGTTATATTTATCACGATGAAGGTCAAGGCCAGTCGCGCGAACCAGGAGGCCTGCGTTCAGTTGGATCTCCATGACGAAGCCGGTGACGCTCTCTGAACGGGCAAGGCTTGTGGCCCGCTGCACCAGGAATGTAATATTATTTGGTTTAAGTTGTTGTGGAGAGGAATGATTGGAATGCTCTCGATGAATGTCGACATAAACCAATGGAATGGGCCAATTAGGAGAGGGAAAGCTGTGGGGAAGGGACAACCACGTTTTGCCTTCTGCGCGTCGCACATTTCATCAATTAATCGAACGCACCCCGCATTCAGAGAGCCAATTTTTCACACAGAATGGGAAGCGAACTCGACTGTGCGTTGGATTTGATGAGGCGTATGCCTCCTTCCTCGATCGAGGACAACCTCGCGGGTCTCATCGATCTCGTGCCCGACCTCACCGAGCAGCTGCTCAGCATGGTCGATCAGCCCCTTAAGGTCGCTCACGATTCGCAGGCCCGTCGTGACTACCTCCTCTGCGACTACAACCGTGACGGTGATTCCTACCGGTACCCCACCATTCTTCCTCTTGGCTTTGTTGGCTTTCAATTATTGCGTGACGGAGCCCAAGTGTTTCATTATGTGCGGTTGTCAAGTAAAATCTTGATTGCTGCTTCAATTTTCCTGCGCTCGGGTGTGGTGGTCAAGGAGCATGATGGACTGATCGATTTGGTTCTTATTCTTTGTAGCTCGCCGTGGACCAACAAGTATGATCCCTCTCTTCCCGACGGTGCTCTCCCCTCGGCTCAGCTCAGGCAGCTCGAGGTGCAGGCCAACGAGGTTTTCGACATCTACCGCGACCTGTACGCCCCCCCCCCTCCCGTAGAGGCATTATTTCCATTCGCCTTAATCTTTCGAGTACGATGGCATGCCAACAATTCATTGACGTCAATTACTGTGTGAAGGTACTTCGAGGGTGGTGTCTCCTCTGTATATTGCTGGGATCTCGATGACGGATTCGCCGCTGTTGTACTTATAAAGAAGAGTACGTATTGCGGCTTTGCCACGGATTCGTTGATCGATCGTTCTTACCCTCCAAACACCACCAACAGCTCAGGACCAGTCTAAGAAGGGCCAGCCCATGAAGGGAACGTGGGACTCCATCCACGTCGTCGAGGTGGTCGACAAGGGCAAGAACGCTCACTACAAGCTCACCTCCACCGTCATGCTCTTCATCGAAACCGAGACCAAGGAGACCGGTCGCGTCACGCTCGCCGGTTCCCTCACCCGTCAGGCACGTCATTTCCTTCATGTGCTCCACGCCTGTGCGCGTTGTGCTAACTCAACAACAACCACCACAACCAAACAGGACGAGAAGGACTTCCCCGTGGACAAGGTGAACCCGCATGTGGCCAACATCGGTCGCATGATCGAGGACATGGAGCTCAAGCTGAGGACCACGCTTCAGACCATCTACTTCGGCAAGACCAAGGACATCGTCAACGAGCTCAGGCAGGTGATGCCCGTCTCCGTCCTCAAGAGCAGGTCCGCTCTCCAGCAGCAGATCGCTGGTGCCATTGGCGGCAGGGGCAACTAAAGAGGAGACCAAACCAGGTCCCTGCTGTTGTTGTTCGCTACTTCCTTCCCGCTCTCGTTTGTCCAAACAATAAACGGACATCGTCTTGTTCTTTACACTCGTCCATGTTATTTCTATATTTACTTATTTATCGTGTATTTTTTTGCGAGGCGGAAAAGGCGAAGGAAATAGTGAAAGGGAGGCAAAAAAGAAAGAAGGGCGCCCTGGTTGCGCACCAAGATGGTGAAGGTGATCCTCTTCCACCTGTTCAATGGGCAGCAGGTGGTGGGCATCGACGAGGAGCCCCTCGCCATCACGCACGCCTCCACCACCATCCTCGCTGCCACCAAGGCCGGTAATGCCAGCCCCTCCCGATTTATTAGATTGTTGTTTGTTAGATTGTTTCATCATTTAATCATTTATTCCCTTATGTGCGGCCAGGGCGGGTGGAGGGCTTTGCGGCCGGTGCCGAGTACGTACGCGCGTTCAGCTTCGGGACGGCGAATGATGGTATCACAGGCCTGCACCACGTACCCGCTCTCGACTGGTATCGCACACACTACTCGCTACATCAGTCCCTGCCCTGCCCAAAACGCTCATCATAGCCTCATACATGTCTGTGGCGTGCGTGCTGGATCGATGACGCACGCGTAGCGTGGTGACGCTGGAGCGGGAGAGCGCACACTCGCGTATCAACGTAGTGCGGGCCTACTACCGATACCACCCGCTGACCACCACCGATCAGGCAGCAGCAGCAGCAACCGAGGCCGCCGACGGCACCACCACGGGGCGGTACGCTTCGGCGGGCAGCCTCGTCCAGCTCGCCGTGCCCTGGTCTGTGCACACTCTCGCCGTGTGGTACGCAACCGCACCGCTCGCTCACTGGTCGTGTGTGTCGTGTGTCGTGTGTCGTGTGTCGTGTGTCGTGTGTCGTGTGTCGTGTGTGTCGATGGCTCACACCAATTTGCTTCGCCTCGCCCAGCGGCGCGACGGGGAGAGTGTTGGCCGGCGGCGAGCGGGGCCTGTCGCTGTGGGCTCTGCACGAGGAGGGCCAAGCGCCCGAGCACCTCATGGACCTGGACACCTCACACTCGCTTCCCGTTCGCCGGTTGGCCATCCACCGCGACTACCTTGGTACCACACCTCGCTCCACTACTCGTTTTGTTGTGTGTGTGTGTGTGTGTGTGGTCGTGTGTGTGTGTGTGTGTGTGTGTGTGGTGTGGAAAGCGAGAGCCACGCGACAATCAAAGCTCACCGTGTATTGCATTTCTGGTCGCCCACTTCTCCCACCAGCCTACGCGTCCTCGAACGAGCTGTTCGTGCTCCACTTCCAGCTCGTCCCTCGCTCCGGGACCAGTACAAGCTCGTCTCTCCCAAGTACGTAAAGAAATAACCCGACCAACAGCACGACAGTACCATTGTAAGGAGAGACCACCCCGAATGACTGACTTGTCGACCCCCGCGGGCCGCAGGCGAAAGCACGAGCCTCGAGGACCTGCTGATGGAAGCAGCTACTGAGCAGTCCGCACAGCAGGAGAAGTCGTCCGCGGCCGCCGAGGAGAACGTCGCCGGGTGGGTCGAGGACGACCACCACCTGGAGTGCGTGTTCGACTTCACCAGCTCCGCCCGAGGCGACGGCGACCGGGCCTGCATGGCCGTGCGCCAGGGACAGGTACCCTCCAGCGAAGCCTTTCGCTGCGTGCCGCTTCTTTAATAACGCTGTCGTTAATGCTGTCGACAAGGCTCTACCGGTCCCGTCGATAGCGCCGGGCAAGAGCCGGTACCCGGCCGGCCCGGAGATTGTGCTGGGGCCGCTGCCGGACATCCAGCACGCGCCGCGGCTCAGCAGCGACTCGGCGTACACGATGTCCACCTGCTCGCTAATGCTCTACCGGCGCTTTCCCGAGAAGACGGGCATCATCTCGCTGAGCCTGCTGCCCGACTGCGATCTCACGCACCAGCTCCAGCGCGACACGAACGCGGTCAACAAGGAGACCGGCATCCGTTGCTGGATCTCTACGCCGCAGCAGGTGCCCTCTCCCTCATCAGCTTTTCCTACCATCACACATTCTGACACACACACACCACACACACCACACACCACTCACACCACACACCACACCACACACACTGACAGGGCCTCATGTACGAAGTGAGCAAGCCGGGCCTGATTTCCGAATACGTGTACACCGACGAGGCGTTGGACGCGCAGCCGGGGGCCTCTTTCCTCTACGTCGCCACCAAGACTGGTGCGTGCGCCTCATGTCAAGGGCTCGTGGAAGTTGTTGTCGACTCACGTGTGGCGGTTGGCTGTGACCAATGATCGTTCAGGTCTCGAGACGTGGACGCTGCGACCAGGGTGGACCCGCGACGCCGGCATTCCGGAGCCCATGGTCATCGGCTTGCAGCCCTTCATTTCGCTGAAGAAGATCGTGCTCGCCGGCGACTCAGTCATCCTCCTCTCCAAGTACGCACCCGTTGCACTGCCGTTGGTCAATCACAAGTTCGTCAGCTTATAGGGCGACGCTGCGACGCACACGCACACGCACACGCACACGCACACATGTTCACACACGCACACACGCGACTGGTCGCGTTAGGTTCACTGAGGCCGACTTAGTGCGGTCGTCGCGGCCCAAGGCCAAGGGGAGTCGAATCGTCAGCTTGCCCAAACCGGCGCCCAACCCAGAGGAGGAGGTGAGCTGGAACCTGTACATTCTCCAGCCCATTCCGGCCATTCCGCTCTACGAGCAGGTCATCGCTCGCGCCCACGATAATGTACGCCACGTCGTGCATACGCTCATCTGCATCGATCGCGGCGTCTCATTGCTGTGCGTGCGTGTGCGTGCGCGCGTGTAGGAGGATTCGGATGTGGAGGTGTATCATCAACTGTTGCTGGAGGGCCACCTGCTGCTTGAGTCTCGCCTGGCGGCGCTGCTGTCGTCGATCGCCCTATCGTCGGGCCGCGAACCAGCCGACACAGCCGCGCAGCTTTCCTCCCAACTCGAAGCTGAAAACTACCGCAAGCTTTTGCGCAAGTCCGCTTCGCTTCTTGCCGACGTACGCTCGCCGCAAACACCGCACTCACTGCACACGCTCACCGCACACACTGCACGCACCACCACATGCACGTCTCATGCTTGTGTACGCAGTACTACGCTCGTTCGGGCGAGTGGGAGCGCGCGTGCGATCTGTTTGCGCAGTCGGACCGCCCCATCGCGCACGTGCTGGCAGCGGCTCTGGGCGAGGAGGCCGCCGCGAAGCCGCTGGTCACCTACTTCGACGCCGTACTCTTCGACGCCGACCTCGGCGAAAGCCTTCTCGTCGACGAGGTGGCCGATCAGGTGACACCTCCATTAGTTACCGCACACGGTGCGTGCTGCGCAGGACAGTGCACTCACCCGCCGTGTGCGTGTGCGGCCGTGCGTGTGTCGTGCCGTGTCGTGTGTCGTGCGTGTGTGGCGTGCGATCAGGCCGATGCGATATTGGAGCACTACGCCACGCACGCTCCACACCGAGTGTCGACGGTCATACTGGAGTCGTGCCTCCAGTCCTACACCCACCAGTCGGCCCTCACTTTCCTCAACAAGGCCATGACCCCGCCCCGTTCGACCCAGCCCGCCGCCCCTCTCCAGGGCCTCGCCCGATTCATCATGCAGCCTCCTGCCGACGAGGTACCCCCTTTTTTAATTACTTTTAATTTGTATTTTTACATATCTAGATTTATATTTTATTTTATTGAATGACTTTTTCAATTGTAAATAAAATCTATCTTTGGACAATAGGGCGTGGCTGGGCCGTGGGCGTCGCCGTCGCCTTCGAGCCAGCAGGCGCAGCTCTACTCGGTGAGCGACACGCCGACAGCACAGGGATTCGAGCCCTGGAAGGACCGCTTCGCCAAGGGCCTGCTCCTCATCGACTCGGGCAAAGAGGTACTCACCTCGATTGGCCTTAGTCTCCGTGTCGCGTGTCGCGTGAGGTTCTCATGCGCATATCATTCCGTTCCGCACGGCAGGACGAAGCGGTGCAGGCGCTGCTGTCGCTTCAGTCGGACACTCTGCTCCGACTGTGCGTGGCATCGCCCCACCTCCTCTTCGCGCCGCAGGACGATGCCGAAGACGACGCACCAGCCTCCTCCTCCTCCTCCTCATCTTCTTCTTCATCGTCATCTTCCTCCGCCGGCGAGAAGTGGAACGTCACCGCCGTCGCGCTCCTGCTGCGCCAGCACGCCCCGTGGTCGCTCCTCGAGCTGCTCGCGACCCTCCTCACCCAGGTATTTATTTACATTTTTTTAAAATTATGTTATCGACTGTTGTGTGTTGTTGGCTGACCACCGGTGGCCGCTGCAGAACGCGCAGGCGGTGCCGCCGCTGTCGCTGGTGCTGCGGCTGCTGGACCCGAACCCGCCGCCAGCGCAGCTGCCTCATTCCCTCCACCCGTACCACTACTTGCAGCAGCAGCAGGCACAGGCACTGCCACTGCCCTCTTCCGACTCGCCCGACCTCATCGGCCTGTACGCACACGCACAAGCGCACTCGCCCAACCGCACTCGCGCACCGCAACACACTCATGGCTGATGGGGGGTGATGATAGGGTGCTGGAGACGTGCTACGCGGAGCACCTTCTGGTGGACGAGCAGGCGTCGGCGCTCCAGGGAGCCCGGGCGAGCCGGGGCCTGCCCAACTACCTGGCCGGCCTCTACCTCCAGTGGGCCGTGCACTTCGCCTCCGCCGCCAAGCCTAGCGACGTCTCCATTTTCGAAGCCGCCGGCTCCATCCCCATCTCCTACGCGAAAAGGTGTGCTTTGTGTCGTATGTAGTGTTGCGTGTCGTGTGCCGTGAGTCGTGCCGCGACTCACGTGACAATGCAAACGCAGGTGGGAGAGCCGTCACAAGCGGGCCTTCAAGCACACCGTACAGCCGTGGCTCGCATCGCTCTGCCCGGCCTCCGTGCCCGACGAGCAGTCGCTGGACCTCTACTTGGCCAAGCTGCTGGGCCTGCTGACGTCGCCCTACGCGGCGCAGGTGGACTGCGAGGCTATACTGCGCCTATTGAATGCGTCCCTGGGCCGATCTCTCGACGCGAGCCCGATGACGCTTCCATTGCGGCTCCTCTGCCTCGCCAGCCAGCGCTTCGAGGAGGCCATGCGGCTCACCATCGCCGTCAAGCCGCGCGCCACCCTCTCCTTCGCCCAACACTTCTGCTCCAGCGTACGCCCTCGTGTGACAGACACACACACACACACACACACACACAACACTTGGCTGATGATGCGGCGCACAGACGGACGAGTGGCGAAGTGTGCTGGTGGCGCTGGCCGACGCGCTGCTGGAGGCCGAGGAGCAGGAGCGGAGCAGCAAGGAGCTGGCGGAGGAGTACGCGAGCGTGCTGCGCCACCTGAGCACGGTCTATGAGCCCGACGCCTTCCTCCTGCTCCTGCCGCCCAACGGCAAGATGACCTTCTTCCTGCCCTTCATCGAGGCCTCCTTCACCTACCACGCCGCCCTGTCCCTCCGGCCACCTCATCGCTCCCCCGCCACCGACGCTGCCCAGGTCAAGTAGAGCCTTGCCTTCACCTTCACCATCAACTCCTTCTACACGACCTGCCTACACCTGTTTTCGTCTCATCTCAACACACAGCACAACTTCGACGTCCCTCCCTCCCCTTTGAAAGATGGTCATGTCGTAGAAGGTGATGAGGATGGTCAGCATGGTCACCCCTTGATCAGCTCCTTGGCGGCCTTCTTGTGGTTTTTCTTGATCGCGAGTCCGTAGGGGGTCAGCTTGTTGTGGTTCCGCCCGGTGGTCGCCGCCCCCGCATCCAACAACAGCCGCACACACTGCACGACACGAGCCGTCACTACTCAGAGCACGCTCGAGGTGATCTTGCTTGCCTGGGGCGGCTTGTACCTCGGTGTGGCCGTACTGGGCGGCCTCGTGCAGCGGGGTGTACATGAGGTCGTTGGCGATGTTGGGGTCAGCCCCGTGTTCCAACAGAAGCTTCACTGCCCGTCGTGCCCGTCGTCAGCTCCACAGGGGAACTGGAGAGGGGGGGAGTTTGAACCTATTCCGGCGTGGTTGAAGGTGACGGCCTTGTAGAGAGCCGTTTCGCGCACCTCGTCGGTGTAGTTGATTGCGGCCTTGCCTGCTCGGTCGCTGAGCAGTCGCGCCACCTCCTCATGTCGCCCCTTCGTGGCCGCCTCCAACAGCTGCGGTCCTTCCATCTCTCTTCTTTGCTTTAGTACTCATTTTTAATAAACAATCATTATTTAAGAAGGCAGATTGGGTTGCTACAAAAGTTCAGCCAATCGGCGAAAAATTGGTTTGGAACTAGGAAAAAACTGGGCACCGCTTGAGGGTCTTGTCCTGGCTGGTGCCTGCTTGCCGTCATTTTGTAAAACAAAACGAAAGTCCAACGCAAGGCAGCAGGAGAATGAACAAGGAGTACGAGGATCTGCTCAACTACATCACCACCTTCGAGCGCTCGCAACAGCAAGAGGAGATCAAGCTCGCCGAGGAGGTGGCAAAGCACAAGCACACCCAGCAGAGCATCCGAAATGGTATGGTCCTCTACTCTCCCTCCTCGCGTACAATTTCGAATAGGCTGAGCTCAAGTCTTCCTCTTTTTCGTGAGCAGCGCAGGCGAACATCGAGAGGTACAAGCAATCGTTGGAGGCGATGCAGAACAGCATGAAGAACATGCGTCGGCAGCACCTCGAGGAGAAGAAGGCCAGCAAGCAGCTCAGGGACGCTACGAAGCACCTCAAGGAAGAGCTCCGCCTTCTCGACGAGAGAGTCATCAAGGCTTCGGAGGAGGCGAGCAAGAAGAGGTAAGCATTCTTGTCGTCCTGCTGCGATCGCGACAAGTAACATTGTCGTGAGCTCAATCTTCACGATATCCAGGGCATTCTACACGCTGGCGATGGAACAAGCCAAGGAGAGGTCGCGCCTTCTTCAGCTGGCCTACGCGAGAGGTGACTGTACGTCTGCGGTGGCATCCCTCTCGACTTCCTCCTCGGACGAAGCGGCCGAGGAGAAGCAGCTGAAGCAGAAGCTGGAGCTGCTCAAGGCACGCCTGCAGACCGAACTCGACGAGAAAGAGAAGCTCCAGATGATGAAACAGAAGAAGAAGCGCGATGAAGAGGCGGCGGCTCACCCTACTCCGATGGACACCGAGAACGCTGCCGCTGCGAAGGTAGGAAGTAGCTTCGCTTCCGCTCGTGCTTGTTGGCGTAACACTCTTTCCGATGGCGTCCTCAGGTGGCTGAACGCGAGGCGGAACTGCTCCTGCACCGCAACGTTGTGCAAGGTCAGAAGGATCTGCTGGAGCAACAGAAGAAGCTGCAGGAATCGACCATCAAGGAGTTCCATGATCTCGATGGGTACCCCTTCTCGTTTCGTCTCGTCGCGAGCGTGTGGCCCTCTCAACGTCTTCTTCATCTTTATGGCGGTACATCGCAGGTACGGCACAAAGCTGAACCAGACCTATGAGGAGCTGCAACAGTACTGCTCTGAGCTCGAGGCTGCCGAGGTCCCGCCCTGCAGTCGATGCAACAAGAAGAAAGGAGAGAAGCATGGGCAACAGGAAGATCCTATCGTACAAGACTAAGGAACGAAGGTCGGTACGCTAGCTTCACTCAATTCGATTTACTTCTCCCACTAAACAAAATTGGGACAAACTATATACAAATGTGGCAGGATGGAGGATTACGAGGATGCATGGACGTAGTCGCCCACGGTGAAGCCCGAAGTGGAGTACGCCGGACCCTGATTGGAGTTCTGCGAGTAGATGCTGCCTGTAGAGGTCGTGGCATACCCTTCTTCGGCTGAGGCCAGCGTGTAATCGGGATCTCCCATCTTCGCTTCCGCGTAAGGGCCATTCGAATCTTGTTTGAGGTAACCCTCCTCGTCCTTCCTCAGCACGACGTAGCCCCCTTCGGCATTCAGCGAGATGGTGTCGCCTCTTCCCACGGTCCCGAGTGCGTACTCGCCGTTCATGGTCTGGATCGCGTAGTCTTCCTGGCCCACGACCTCCACTCCCGTCGCGTACTCGCCGTTCATCTTTTGCTCGAGGTAGGTCCTCTTGTCCATCTCACTCTCGGCATAGCCCTGCGTGCCGCCAATCTGCAGAGTGTAATCCGGTTCGCCGGTTCCAAGCACCGCGTAGGCCTGCTTCGCATCCTGAGTCGTGTACTCCTCCGCACCGATCCTTCCTTCCGCATAGCTCGTCATCGTCGTCATCTGGTAAAACTGATCAACACGAAGTGCCGAACGTTTCACTTTTGTAGGCCTTCTTCGCGTTCAGCGAAGACTCTTTCGCGCCACAACGCGAACACAACCACACGCACCCGAAACGTCACGCGAAAGAGCCCGAAATGTCAAGTGAATAATTACTTATAAATAATGCCGAAAAAGACAAAAGGCGTTTGTTTGTTTGGGAGTTGTTTACACGAAGACGGCGGAGCTGCCCAGAGCAAGGACGAAGGGGAGGAGGAAGACCTTGCTGAGGAAGAAGAAGAAGATCCCCAACGCGATGGAGAAGGGCAGAGCCGGGAGCGCCTTCCTAAAGACCGCCAGCAGCAGCAACGTCCAGAACAGGCCCTGCGAGACAGAGAAAACAATCAACACGCCACAGGTGAGTTGAGGGTGGCTAACAGCAGCTGGGAGCTTGAGAAGGGAGACGGTACGGTGATGATGGCGATGAAGCACGTGAAGACGGTGAGCCAGTTGAACATGGCGGCGCGTCCGACAAGCACGCTGTAGAACACAAAGTCGCCCAAGCCCAGCTTGACCGATTGAGGTCCTGCGTGTAATTGCCACCATCACAAGCATCAGCGGACTCGCTCGAGGGACAGACAAACAACATCAATCAGCAAAAGCGGCGCAGGAGAAGGAATGGTACTCTTGTCTTCCTCCATCAGGCCTTCGCCTCGGTCGCTGCTGCCCATCATGTTCAGCGTGTTGATCATCAACGGGACCACGAAGCCTATTCCGCACACACCGCATGCGCACGAGCATGAGTATCGCACTACTAGTTGTTAAGAGCAGCGCAGCTGAGCCAAAAGCATTTTTCTGTACCGTTGTAGAGTAGAGCTGGGATGGGTTCCTGGCGCTGCTGTGCCGTCTCGACCAACACGCGAAGCGGTCCACGCGGGCACAGGACAGCAAACACGTCTGCATTGCATGTTACCCCCCCCCCACAACCACCACGTGAGCACAGCGTCAGCGCGCGCTCGGCCGTTGTGCGCGCGTTGTGGCGTCAGGCGAGTGTTGGTCGGCCGTACCGTAGAGCGCAATGGCGGCGAGGATGGTCCAGGTGGTCCACTCGGGCAGGCGGGTGAAGAAGATGGCCATGAACGCGGAGATGAGGACCAGGTAGGCCTGGTTCCAGCGCTGCGGGGCATACCTGCGCACCAACCAACCAGAATTCAGCCCCTGTTCGTCTTCGCCAACGGCTCTCAGTGCAGTGCAAGGTACCAGAAGATGGAGATGACGCCCGCGCCTGTGAAGTTCCACATCATGAACACGAACGTGACCCAGTCCATCGGGAGGTTGTACGCCTTCCACATGTATCTGCCGATGTGTGCGTCGGTGCGTGTATGGTGCACGGCAAAGAGATCGGACGGAAGAGAGGAACCATCAGACCCTAGCACTGAGTGAGCATGGGGGGGGGCTGTGTTGCACTGCACGTACATGAAGATGATGGACCCGAACATCATCAGCATCAAGCCCGACGATCCGATGAGCCAGGCGAAGATGAGCTGTCGAGTCGCGTGTGTTTTAGCAACAACACCAACTTGCACGCACGCACGCACGCACGCACGCACGCACGCACGCACGCACGCACGCACGCACGCACACACACATGCGCAACATGTGAGGAAGGTAGAGAGTACTTGAGGCATCGGTACTTGTAGAGAATGACGAATATCACTGTGACGATGACGATGACCACCACGAACACCAGCGCATTGAGGAGTGCGCCGAGGAGCTTCGTCGAGGTGTCGTCAGACGCCACTTCCTTGTAGACCATGTACACGGGGCTGATGATGAAGAAGAAGATGAAGAAGAAGATGAAGAAGAAGAACGACACCACGCAAAGAGAGCAGAGGCGGATCAGTCTCGCGGGATCATCGCACATCGGCGCTACGACAAGGGGCAAGCGGGAGGAGGTCACGCACGAAAAGTTTTGGTTGTAGGGGATGGTGATGGTCTTTACCACCCAGATGACCAGCATCATGGTCACCGCCACCGGCTTCAGAATGGCCAGCACCTGCAAGAAACGTAACACGCACACGCCACACACCACACGACACGACACGACACACGCGTGAGAAAAGAAGAACCAAGGGACCAGGGACAGCGTCGCAGTTGAACGCGCCCACGAACCATTTGAGCGTGGTCTTCAAGGGTGAGGCCGCCTTCGTCATCCTCCTCTTCGCCCCACTCTTCGTCATCATGCTCCTCGACCGCCGCGCCACTGTGGTGGTTGAAGGGAAAGGTGAGCGAACGTAGATGGCGCCTTATTTCATCTGGGGCGGTGAATGGCTTGAGCAGACCTTGGGCGAGGGCGGTTGCGGTGGGCACGCTTCGGTTTGCGGGCGTTCTTCGGGGCAGCCGCAGTGGCAGAAGGCGGAGAAGATGCTGGCAAATCGTCATCTTCGTCGTTGATGGCGGATTCCGCCTCAACATCACCACCACTTGGGAGGTCATCCTCACCTTCAACGTGGTGGAGAAAGCTCTGCCTCTCAGCTTCCTCGATCGAGACCAGCTCGATCGATTCCGCGTACTTCTCTTCGTCGCTTTCCATCTTTAATCAATCAAAGCTGATTATTTTTCCAGTTTAATTTATCTCTTTCTTCAATTTCTCTTTGGTGGCCAAGCACGCCGAACCGATAAAGCGTCGTTAGGGGATCGCAGCCTTCTTCTTCGTCCTCTGATGCTTCGCCTTACGTCTGTTCCGTTGCGACTTCGAGTGACTGAAGCGTCTCGCACCAAACTCACCGCCAGAGGCAGGCACTGGAACCTGCCCTACGTCTTCGCTAGGGAGATTCGGCTCGAGCTTGAAGTCGGACGAGCTACTAGGCGGGAGGCACGGTAGGAGCTGGTCGAGAGGGATGCTGACGAACGGCTGCTGAACGTCGAAGGGCGACACGACGCCTCTCTGGAGATAGGCGTCTCTGATACCGGTCCGCTTGGCGAGTTGCGGACGGAGCTGAACGACGAGCTTGCGCCATGTCTCCCACGCCCGTAGCTCCTCGAATGACCAGTTTGCGTACTGTGACGCGACGCTAATGAGAACAAGAGCCTGAGACGAAAAGAAAGTGGGCTCCGGACTTACCTCAGGACAAGCCGTAATACTCATGAGCCGGTCTTGATGATGGGAGCAGGGAGCGTCGTCGCCATAAGGATCTCCGAAAGGCACCGGACCCCTGTCTCGAGAGTTCTCTGACGCGAACGGTGTCTCATGGGCAGCTGGAGCGGTGCGAGCTGGGAGCTCGAAATGAAGTAGAGACTTGATCATTCCGGCCCGAGCGCGCCGCCAGCTCACCGAGGACAGTTGCGTGGATTGGAAGTTGATCTGCACTGCAGAGCACGCACTAAGGTGAGGCAGACTTCTTACTTGTCTTGCGAAAGGACGTACGTGATGCTCCGGTTCGAGGGTCGTAGCGATCGACGTCGCCATGCGGGCGGTGAGGGTTCAGCTGATTCACCTCGAAGAGGTTACGTTCCAGCAGCTTCTTGCAGCACTCGGCATCGTTGTGAGCGAAGGCGAGTAGAAGAACGGCGAGGTCCACCTTGCTGAGGGCCTCGAGCGTACGTAGCGACCCGTGGTCGCGAAGCAGCTGCTGGCACTCGGAGAACCCGAGCACGTCCAAGTCACTCGCCCGTTGCGCGTTTGCCGCCCTCATCGAGTCCAGCTTCATCATCATCCGTTTGTTCGCTGAGTAGCGACCGAGTAGAGCGTTGTTAAGAGTTGCAGTTCTCGAACGCGTCGCTGTAGCTTTGCACCGAACGGAGGCAGAACAGTGACTGAAGACCGGCACCGCCACGCCGACGAAAAGCGAAACGCGTTTGCCTGCCTTTTTGCCGTCCGATAAAATCCCACCACCTCTTCGCGCGTGGTGGTGAATAAGTGTCGACAAGCGCTGACGTCTATTGGGCTCGCTGGAGATCCAGGAGAAGATGAACAAGAAGGGGAGGGGAGAGGAGGGGAGAGGTCTCTTAGATGGTGGCGGCTGCTAGTATTCATCGGGATGACTGGCAAGGTCACCGTGCTCCCACCTCTCCTCGTCAAAGAAGATGGCTTCGACTTGACGCTTGGCGAAGAATCGTCCATGCAAGCTGTTGATGGCTAACAGGTGGCGAAGAAGAGGGAGGTGAGTCCACAACACAACTAGCTCGATGAAGCAGACCATTGGTCATCGCCCATCGTCATCATCGCTGATGACGAAGCAATCGACCGTTCATCAGAGCGTTACACTCGGCCACCCCACATAGACACGCATACGCACGCGCCCACAATGACGTCAGTCCCCACTGGTGTACCCTTGAGCGCAGAGTCGAGCGTGGTGAACTGCACGAAGATGCGGACCGACTTGTCGGAGGGCACCATGGGGTTCTTCTCCTCGTAGATCTTGCATCGCACCACCGGACCGTACTTGGTGCACTCCTCCGCCGTCTCGGACTCGAGGTCCTCGTCCACCTCGCCTGGACCCACCATGTTCTTCGCAGAGCAGAGCAGAGCAGAGCAGAGGAAAGCAGAGGAAAGAAGAACAACAAAGTTAGCATTGCGATGTGTCACATGCATCACGCACAAGAAGCAGACGAACGTGAATGAGAAACAAGAGAGGGTAGGAACACGACATACCCGGAGCAGGATGACCTTGCTCGATTCGACCTTTCGTCGGTGGGAAAGAAGACTCCCGGGCTTAGAGTTGACGTCGATAATGACTCCACTGGCCGGGCCTTTGCCCTTGTTGAGCTTCTTGTGCTCGAGCGGGTTCAAAATGCCCTGTCCCTCCTTGCCCAGGCCTTCACAAAAGCACACAAGAGAGGCGTGAGAAGAAGCACGGGCAAACACAAGAAACGACGAAACAGGGAGAAAGTGGAGCAAAGATGCACACCTCGTCCCTCTGTCCAGCCCATCTTCTTCATCATCTGCTCTGCGATAGAGAGGCCGCCGCCGCTATTGGCTCTCGTGGGAGTAGGAGTGGGGGCAGGACTATCAAATGACGGAGGCGGAGGGATGTGATTCGAGACGCGGGCTGCTTGTGGCGCCCGTGTGGGCGTTTCCTCAGTGTCGTATCCGTACGGATCGTGTACGTTCGAGGGAGCCATCATGGCCTGCGCTGGCGATGCTGCAGGCTGCATTCCTGCGCTCAACTGTGCCCGCCGTCGCCAGGCCTAGCGCACACGAGGGAGCAGAATGATGAGAGAACGGGAACGGGTGAAAGTAGTACCAAGTGAGTGTACCTCTTCGCCGGAGACGTTGAGGTCGAGCTTCGCCGAAGATGGAGGAGGAGAGGACTCTCTGGTCGATCGAGATGGTTGAGAAGGAGGCGAGTAGCGGTGGTGGGTGCTGCTTCGGGGTGCTTCGCGGAAGTCGTCTTCATCCATCGGCACGCTGGGCTGGAAGCCCCACTGCTGCTGCTCTCGTTCCTGTTCGCGTTGCTGCCGTTCCATCTCACGGTGCTGTTGTCTAGCCTGTCGCTCGTTCACGTACTCCTCGTAATCGTTGGGTCGGGCAGGATCGTACTCATCGAGGTCCTTTGGCCCAAGGCGCGACGAGGCGCCCATCCTGGAGGGCATGTGTTGATGATGTGGCTCCTCATTCCCACCCGGCTTGGGTGTGCTGCTAAGGTTGACGTTTTGTTGCAGATGGGGGGTGGTCTTTACGGTTCCCAGATGGACGAAGAGGTCAATCAAGCTGCCGAGAATCGCTAGTTAATTGAGCGACGCGGCGGTGGTGCAGGAGGTACTATTTCTTCTTTGACCTTCGCCTGAACCAGGTCCATAGATGTTCGTGTGGCCCTGGGCGGCTGGGGTTGTTGCAATCGCTTGCGCTTGAGCAGCACATTTTGGGCCAACACCGATGGCACGTTTGTAAGCTTCTCTCCTGTGAATTTGGACGTGCTCGACCAACCTTTACGCCTCGCATGTTAGCATTGCTCAGTTTTCTAGAACATGTCCAGATGCAGTACCTGAATTGGCAGGTTTCGCGTCCGTAGGCTGTGTGCTACTTGTTGTGTTGGTGCCCCCTGCCTTTGGGGCAGAGAGATTCGAGTAGAGATCAAACATGAGGGCGATTGCTGATGTGGCGGAATTGGCAAAGAATTGAATTGCTTTGGCCCAAAAAAAAAACAGAAAGAAAAAGACGGTCCAGAATTTCAGGAGGACACACGCCAACTTGGGATGCCGCGAACGACCCACAACCTTTTCCAGCCCAGCCAAGTGACGGCCAAAGATTAGGCAAGGTGCACGCTGCCGAGCCGAGAATGGGCACCTTGACACGGTTGCTGGAGGCCGCACTGTCCCTCGTCACGGTCCTGTCCCTGGGCAGTTCTTTCTTAGTACCAACCACAACGC